TAGGAACAGTTAGCAGGAAAAATTTTTTTTAACATGTCCAAAATTGTTGGAAATGTTATTTTCCCCCTGTTTTTCTCTTTTTCAGTATTGATTCTTGCTCATATGAGTCTAGTGTTGAGACGAGTTTTATGAAGACACTTTTCTTTAATTAGTTACAAATAAAAGTCACAAACTTGATCACAAACTGTGGAGAACAAAGCTGCTAGTTAAGTTTAAGAAAATCTACAGTTTCTCCAGGATTCCAACTGCCAAACCAGACCCCAGCGTAGAGACTCTGAGTGAAGCTGGTCTGGACTCTGTGGAGGAGGCTCATGGTATTTTCAGAGATGTTGTAAAATGCTAAAACCCCTGCACTGTGGTCCAGGTAAACCCCGATTCTGGACCGAACTGGACCTGAGACCTGGGACTGGACTTTGTTAAACCAAAAGACATAACTTTTTTTGTTACACTCTAAGGCCCAGGATTTATCATTGTATCCAAATACACATTCATCATAGTCTTTCCTCTGAATGTCTCTGTATGAAACTGCTATATGAACCTGTCCCCCGCTCCACTCCACCTCCCAGTAACAGCGGCCCTTCAGACTCTCTCTGCTCAAGACTTGACTCCTGTAACTGAATCTGTCTGGATGATCTGGATAATTCTTAGATTCTCTCAGAACTGTTGCTCTTCTGTTTCCATCAGACAGAGACAGCCATGTGTTAACTGTGTTTGGGTCCAGAGTGATTTCTGTAGAATATTGTAAGAAGTCGTCTCTGGACCTGGGTTCAGCTGGTGGCAGTAAAACCTGGACTGGACTCAGAGTGAGCTGGAGTGTGTCTCTGAGCTTGGACACAGCTCTGGTCACTTCTTCAAAGTAGCTCTGGTCCCCTGTGTGAATGGTGTGTGTCTCTGTGCTCTGTGTGTGTGGGGACAGTGACGTGTAGACCTGTATAAACTGGTTATGATCCTGGGTGAGGGCCAGTGTGTCCAGTTCAGAGATGCTCCTCTTCAGTTCACTCACGTCCTGCTGCAGTTGGTCCTGGAGCTCTTGGACTCGGCTCAGTTGGGTCTTCTCCTGGGAGCGGATCTGCTGCTCCACTTCAGAGCGTCTTTTCTCCAGGAGAAGGACCATCTGTGTGAAGCTGTCCCCGCTGTGCTGCACTGCTGTCTGGGCAGAGCGTCTGATGTCCTGGGCCTCCTGTTGGAGCCTCTTCAGGTCTGTCTCTTTGTGCTGGAGGCTCTGGAGCAGCAGGTTCCTCCTGGCCGGCAGCTCTGCCTGCCTCTGAGCCCTCTCTGAGGCAGAGGACACTATGTCATGACCCTTATGTTGGTCCACACACAGGGAGCAGAGCAGCTGCTGGTCACTGCGGCAGAATAGATCCATCACTTTGTCATGTTCAGAGCAGATGTTTCCTGGAGTCTGTGAGACGGTTCCACCAGTTGATGTTTCTTAAATGCTGCAGCTTCATAATGAGGCTGTAGGTGGCGCTCACAGTAAGAGGCCACACACTGCAGACAGGACTGGACAGCTCTCAGCTTCCTCCCAGTGCACACATCACAGGACACATCCTGAGGCTCAGCATAGCAGCAGGCAGCAGGGGGCGCTGTCATCTTCATCTGCTCTACTAAACTTGCTAACATGATGTTTTTACCCAGGACAGGTCTGGGGCTGAAGCTCTGGCAACATTCAGGACAGCTGTAGAGCTGCTTGTCGTCCTCTTGGTCCCAGTGCTGTTGGACACAGTTCCTGCAGTAGCTGTGTCCACAGGGAATAGTCACAGGATCCTTCAGTAGATCCAAACACACGGAGCAGGAAAAGGCTTCTTGGTCGAGTGTTTTCTGCGCCATCTCTCCTGGATCACAAACTCTTTCACTTTGACAAAAACAAACTTCAGATTGGAGTGAGAGCTGTGGGAGGAGCCACATACACAGCTCTGTGCAGATCTGGGGAGGAAGTGGCAGCTCTTAAAGGCACACACATGTTTTATTAGAACTTTAAACTTTCAACAAACAACTTCATCAGGACTTTTTCTATAAGGAAATGTGTATTTATTGGTTTAGTTGAGATCATGACAGTCTATCATTTAATTTACAGTTTGAGTTATGTTACATTAATGCTTTAACTTTTCTTTGGCCATGTTAGTATTATTTTTAATGTAATGCCTCCCTCTTGTGGTGATTATTTGCAGCAGATCTTTTATATAAAATAAAGTTTTTAACAGTGTTATTAGTTGTTTCCTTTTCATTTACCCTGTCAAAATTGTATTTGGATTGATTTCTGCATGTTTGAGAAATGCTTATTTTGTTGCTTATTTTGAACACACCATTTTACTGATCAAAACCTGTTTTCACAGCCACCGGTACAACACTTACTGCTCTGTACTTACTTCCTTGTCCAATTTTATTTTGTTAGCCACGACAGAGACAGAAGAGCCTGGAGAATACCAAAAACCAGAAAACTCTAAATTGAAGTTTCAATAAAAATCTAAAACAACTGAAAGGACGTATTTAAATCTAGCAAACGATATCTTAAAGGTTCCATATTACACAAAATATTTTAAAGACGTTATAATTTTGTGGATCTGGAGATGTATCCTGACACGTACTCTGTTTGTGTCAAAAATAAACATGACTGCTTACACATAAAAATGGAGAGAAAGCACCAAACTATGACTTATTTCAGGAAAAAGAAGTGATATATTTTGTTCTGAATGTTTCTAGAGGAGACGTCTTCTGCATTTGAGAGACACATGATACAAATGAGCAGCTGTGGTTGGATCGTCTCAGATTTGGATGAAGATTTTTCATGCTTTTTGGTCCGATTCTAGACTCTTCTGGATTCAAGGGACTAATGCTCAGGCAAGTGTTTCATTCAAAGATTTTTGAGTAACTCTTTATTATAAGTCTGTCTATATCTCCAAAACTCAAAATGCTGCTTCACCTTGTGATGTCCTCAAGTTGTAGTTTTCAAGTTAAGAGCTCCTTTACCTTTAGTTAAAAAAATTGGTAATTCCAGGTCTGAAACCATCCAAATGATTCTAGTGAAGGTGTATGGAGTTTAAAAACAGAGTGGAATTTGAGGGAATAACATAACGAAACATGTGTATGAAACAAAACACAACTCCAGGTCTGTTTATGATGAGGAAACAACATTATAACATCTGATCATGATTTCGACAGCTTCATTCTGTTTAATCACATGTACTCTGTGTGTCAGGACTTTTGTCAGATCCTTTGGTTCATATAGTAAGGTTGTAGTTCAGTCTCTCAAACGTCAAAGCTCCTGAATATGTCTGAAATGAACACAGTGAAGTGAATAAAAATAGAAGTGCAGATTTAATCCATGTGCAGAAGTTCTCTGAAGACTCTGCAGTGGTTGGGTGTATCAGAGATGGACAGGAGCTGGACTACAGGACACTGACTGTAAACTTTGTGGAGTGGTCCCAGGCAAATCATCTGCTCCTGAACGCTGACAAGACCAAGGAACTGGTGATTGACTTCAGGAGGAAGAGGACACCAGTGGAGCTCTTCACCATCCAGAGCCATGACGTGGAAATAGTCGACTGCTACAAGTAACTTAGAGTCCATGTGAACAACAGACTGGACTGGAGGGACAACAGTAATGCTGTGAACAAGAAGAGCATGAGGAGACTCTACTTCAGACCTGGGTATTGTCCAACTCCTGGGCCACATATAGTCATTTGTTTGACTCTGACAGGTCCATTTAAGCTCATTTGGAATCACAAAATAAACATATTTTATAATTTTACCTCATGCATGGACTAAAGCTGCATTGAGATGTTTTTTTATGCCATTTTTTGTACAGCAGCATCACTTTTTCATTGCTTAGTCATAACATAAACTCTTATCAGTCTGACCAGCTCATCAAAAAACAATGATATTTACTGCTTTTTATAAAGAAATACAATTAATTTTATGCAGAACTGAGTGAAGCATTTTGGTCTGACCCTCCACAATATTTTCTGTTTCTCATGTGGCCCCAAGGAAAAAAAATAATAATAAAAATAAAAATCCACCCCTGCTCTACTTCCTGCAAAAGCTCAGGTCTTTGAATGTATGCAGCAAGTTCCTGTAGATCTTCTCCCAGTCTGTGGAGCCAGTGCCCTGGACTTGGCTGTGGTCTGCAGGGGGAGCAGATCCAGGAAAAGGGACATTGGACGGATCCAAAAACTGATCCTTAAAACTGCTCACGTGATCGACTGTGAACTGGAGACATTTGTCCCAGTGATGGACACGAGGACACTGGACAAACTGCTCTCCAACATGGACACTCCTGCTCCCCCACTGCACCAGACTATAGAGATACAGATAATACTCCCTACAACTGTACAACAACTCCCCCACTGCACCAGACTATAGAGATACAGATAATACTCCCTACAACTGTACAACAACTCACCCACTGCACCAGACTATAGAGACACAGATAATACTCCCTACAACTCTACAACAACTTACTCTCATGTAACAGATAATACTCCCTACAACTGTACAATTCACCTACAGCACCAGACTATAGAGACACAGATAATACTCCCTACAACTGTACAACAACTCACCTTTATGTAACAGATAACACGATGTCCTGTCAATCATTATATCATTTCGCACTGTCTTCCTTATGACCTCTTGAGATATATTTATAGCTTTTTATTCTATTTTATTTTGATTTGTACATTTACATTGATATAATTCTGACTCATTGACACGTGTCTCTTGCTCTTTTGTGCTACTTATTTAGAATTTATTATTACCATTTATATGTTTTACTCTTTGTTATTATATTATATTGTGATGTTTGAGCTGCTGTGTCCAAATCATTTTCCTTGTGGATCAATAAAGTTTGTCTAAGTCTAAATCTAAGTGTAATCACAAGTACACTTTAAGTCTGATGAATTCAAAATATGTCTCAGGTCTTCAAATAAATAACAATCAGAAAATATTGCAGTAGCCTCTGCTGTGTCAGGTGTAACAGACAGGTGACGTCAAAGTTTTCATTCATTCCAATTTAATGAGAAACTGACAGACCAGAAAAAACACAATCTGGAAATCCACAGAGAAAAACATACAACAGATTTTAGTTTTACAAAATCACTTCATTAAGGTACAACAAAAAGTGACATACTTTTATTTTACATGAGGAATAACATTTGAACTGAAAGAAAGTTCAGATTAAGTTAAATTAAACAGTGACTGGTGTAAAACAATGAATGAATGTTGTTTTCCAGAAATAGTAGGAACAGTAAATATATTTTTGTTTTGTTTTGTTTTTGAATAGAACATAATTTTCATCACAAAATTATACAACAGTTGATTCTTTAATATTAAGGTCTACACCAACACTATTATACACCAATACAATTTTTAACATGTCCACAATTGTTGGAAATGTGACTTTTTTCCCCACGTTTTCTCTTTTTCAGTATAGATTCTTTTTCATATGAGTCTAGTTTTGAGACTAGTTTTAAAATCATTTAGTATCTTTTTTCTGCCCTGATGAAGAAACTTTTATCTGATTAGTTACAAATAAAAGTCACAATTTTGATCATGAACTGTGGAGAACAAAACTGCTATTTGAGTTTAGGGAAATGTGCAGTGTCTCCATAATAACCGCTAAACCTGACCCCAGCGTGGAGAGACTGAGTGAACCTGGTCTGGACTCTGTGGAGGAGGCTCATGGTATTTTCAGAGATGTTGTAAAATGCTAAAACCCCTGCACTGTGGTCCAGGTAAACCCCGATTCTGGACCTGACTGAACCTGAGACCTGGGACTGGACTTTGTTAAACCAAAAGGAATAACTGTTTTTGTTACACTCTAAGGCCCAGGATTTATCATTGTATCCAAATCCACATTCATCATAGCCTTTCCTCTGAATGTCTCTGTATGAAACTGCTATATGAACACACACCCCGCTCCACTCCACCTCCCAGTAACAGCGACCCTTCAGACTCTCTCTGCTCAGAACCTGAAACCTGTTACTGAATCTGTCTGGATGATCTGGATAATTCTTGGATTCTCTGAAAAGTGTTGCTCTTCTGTTTCCATCAGACAGAGACAGCCATGTCTGGACTGTGTTTGGGTCCAGAGTGATTTCTGTAGAATATTGTAAGAAGTCGTCTCTGGAGCTGGGAGCAGCTGGTGGCAGTGAAACCTGGACTGGACTCAGAGTGAGCTGGAGTGTGTCTCTGAGCTTGGACACAGCTCTGGTCACTTCCTCAAAGTAGCTCTGGTCCCCTGTGTGAATGGTGTGTGTCTCTGTGCTGTGTGTGTGTGGGGACAGTGAAGTGTAGACCTGTATAAACTGGTTATGATCCTGGGTGAGGGCCAGTGTGTCCAGTTCAGAGATGCTCCTCTTCAGTTCACTCACGTCCTGCTGCAGTTGGTCCTGGAGCTCTTGGACTCGGCTCAGTTGGGTCTTCTCCTGGGAGCGGATCTGCTGCTCCACTTCAGAGCGTCTTTTCTCCAGGAGAAGGACCATCTGTGTGAAGCTGTCCCCGCTGTGCTGCACTGCTGTCTGGGCAGAGCGTCTGATGTCCTGGGCCTCCTGTTGGAGCCTCTTCAGGTCTGTCTCTTTGTGCTGGAGGCTCTGGAGCAGCAGGGTCCTCCTGGCCGGCAGCTCTGCCTGCCTCTGAGCCCTCTCTGAGGCAGAGGACACTATGTCATGACCCTTATGTTGGTCCACACACAGGGAGCAGAGCAGCTGCTGGTCACTGCGGCAGAATAGATCCATCACTTTGTCGTGTTGAGAGCAGATGTTTTCCTGGAGTCTGTGAGACGGTTCCACCAGTTGATGTTTCTTCAAAGTTGCAGCTTCATAATGAGGCTGTAGGTGGCGCTCACAGTAAGAGGTCACACACTGCAGACAGGACTGGACAGCTCTCAGCTTCCTCCCAGTGCACACATCACAGGACACATCCTGAGGCTCAGCATAGCAGCAGGCAGCAGGGGGCGCTGTCATCTTCATCTGCTCTACTAAACTTGCTAACAGGAGGTGTTTGATCAGGGCAGGTCTGGGGCTGAAGCTCTGGCGACATTCAGGACAGCTGTAGAGCTGCTTGTCGTCCTCTTGGTCCCAGTGCTGTTGGACACAGTTCCTGCAGTAGCTGTGTCCACAGGGAATAGTCACAGGATCCTTCAGTAGATCCAAACACACGGAGCAGGAAAAGGCTTCTTGGTCGAGTATTTTTTGTGCCATATCTCCTGGATCACAAACTCTTTCACTTTGACACAAACGAAACTTCAGAGTGGAGTGAGAACTGTGGGAGGAGCCACACACACAGCTCTGTGGAAATGTGAGGAGGAAGAGGCAGCTCTTAAAGGCACACACATGTTTTATTAGAACTTTAAACTTTCAACAAACAACTTCATCAGGACTTTTTCTAGAAGGAAATGTGTCTTCATTGGTTTAGTTTAGATCATGACAGTCTATCATTTAATTTACAGTTTGGGTTAAGATACAATAATGCTTTACTTTTTCTTTGGCCATGTTCGTATTATTTTTAATGTAATGCTTCCCTCTTGTGGTGAGTTAGTTCTTTTGCAGCAGATCTATTGTACAAAATTGACTTCTCAGAGTTTTAGTTTTATACAGAGTTTTATAGTTGTTTCCTTCTCATTTACCCCGTCAGAGTTGTATTTGGAGTGATTTGTGCAGTGTTAAATTGCTTAATTTGAAGACGCCATTTTACTGATCAAACCCTGTTTTCAGGGCCACCGGTACAACACCTACTGCTCTGTACTTACTTCCTTGTCCAATTTTATTTTCTTAACAAGGACAGACACAGGAGAGACTGAAGAATACCAAAAATCAGAAAACTCTAAATTGAAGTTTAAAAAAAAAAAAAACTTTGTGGAGTGGTCCCAGGCAAATCATCTGCTCCTGAACGCTGACAAGACCAAGGAACTGGTGATTGACTTCAGGAGGAAGAGGACACCAGTGGAGCTCTTCACCATCCAGAACCATGACGTGGAAATAGTCGACTGCTACAAGTAACTTAGAGTCCATGTGAACAACAGACTGGACTGGAGGGACAACTGTAATGCTGTGAACAAGAAGAGCACGAGGAGACTCAACTTCAGATCTGAGCATTGTCCAACTCCTGGGCCACATACAGCCAGTTTGTTTGACTCTGACCAATTCGTTTAAACTCATTTCGAATTCCAAAATAAACATATTTTATAATTTTACCTCATGCATGGACTCAAGCTGCATTGAGATGTTTTTTTAGTGCCATTTTTTGGAAGGCAGCCTCACTTTTTCATTGCTTAGTCATCACATAAACTCTCACCAGTCTAAATAATGATATTTACTGTGTTTTATAAAGAAATGCAATTCATATTATGCAGAAGTGAGTTAAGCATTTTGGTCTGACCCTCCACAATATTTTCTGTTTCTCATGTGACCCTATGGAAAAAAAAAAAAAAAAAGCTCAGGTCTTTGAATGTGTGCAGCAAGTTCCTGTAGATCTTCTCCCAGTCTGTGGAGCCAGTGCCCTGGACTTGGCTGTGGTCTGAGGGGGAGCAGCTCCAGGAAAAGGGACATTGGACGGATCCAAAAACTGATCCTTAAAACTGCTCACGTGATCGACTGTGAACTGGAGACATTTGTCCCAGTGATGGACACGAGGACACTGGACAAACTGCTCTCCATCATGGACACTCCTGCTCCCCCACTGCACCAGACTATAGAGATACAGATAATACTCCCTACAACTGTACAACAACTCACCCACTGCACCAGACTATAGAGACACAGATAATACTCCCTACAACTCTACAACAACTTACTCTCATGTAACAGATAATACTCCCTACAACTGTACAATTCACCTACAGCACCAGACTATAGAGAGACAGATAATACTCCCTACAACTGTACAACAACTCACCTTTATGTAACAGATAACACGATGTCCTGTCAATCATTATATCATTTCGCACTGTCTTCCTTATGACCTCTTGAGATATATTTATAGCTTTTTATTCTATTTTATTTTGATTTGTACATTTACATTGATATAATTCTGACTCATTGACACGTGTCTCTTGCTCTTTTTTGCTACTTATTTAGAATTTATTATTACCATTTATATCTTTTACTCTTTGTTATTATATTATATTGTGATGTTTGAGCTGCTGTGTCCAAATCATTTTCCTTGTGGATCAATAAAGTTTGTCTAAGTCTAAATCTAAGTGTAATCACAAGTACACTTTAAGTCTGATGAATTACAAGTATGTCTCAGGTCTTCAAATAAATAACAATCAGGAAATATTGCAGTAGCCTCTGCTGTGTCAGGTGTAACAGACAGGTGACGGTCAAAGTTTTCATTCATTCCAGTTTAATGAGAAACTGACAGACCAGAAAAAACACAATCTGGAAATCCACAGAGAAAAACATACAATAGATTTTAGTTTTACAAAATCACTTCATTGAGGTACAACAAAAAATAACATACATTTATTTAATAACATTTGAACTGGAAGAAAGTTCAGATTAAGTTAAATTAAAACAGTGACTGGTGTAAAACAATGAATGAATGTTGTTTTCCAGAAATAGTAGGAACAGTAAATATAATTTTGTTTTGTTTTTGAATAGAACATTATTTTCAACACAAAATTAAATAACAGTTGATTCTTTAATATTAAGTGTCCTTTTTTCTGCCCTTTTGAAGAGACTTTTATCTGATTAGTTACAAATAAAAGTCACACATTTGATCACAAACTGTGGAGAACAAAACTGCTATTTAAGTTTAGGGAAATATATAGTGGCTCCAGGATTCCAACCGCTAAACCAGAGCCCAGCGTAGAGAGACTGAGTGAAGCTGGTCTGGACTCTGTGGAGGAGGCTCATGGTATTTTCAGAGATGTTGTAAAATGCCAAAACCCCTGCACTGTGGTCCAGGTAAACCCCGATTCTGAACCCGACTGGACCTGAGACCTGGGACTGGACTTTGTTAAACCAAAAGGAATAACTGGTTTTGTTACACTCTAAGGCCCAGGATTTATCATTGTATCCAAATACACATTCATCTTTTCCTTTCCTCTGAATGTCTCTGTATGAAACTGCTATATGAACACACACCCCGCTCCACTCCACCTCCCAGTAACAGCGACCCTTCAGACTCTCTCTGCTCAGGACCTGACACCTTTTAGTGAATCTGTCTGGATGACCTGGATAACTCTTGGGTTCACTCAAAACTGTTGCTCTTCTGTTTCCATCAGACAGAGACAGCCATGTCTGGACTGTGTTTGGGTCCAGAGTGATTTCTGTAGAATATTGTAAGAAGTCGTCTCTGGACCTGGGTTCAGCTGGTGGCAGTAAAACCTGGACTGGACTCAGAGTGAGCTGGAGTGTGTCTCTGAGCTTGGACACAGCTCTGGTCACTTCTTCAAAGTAGCTCTGGTCCCCTGTGTGAATGGTGTGTGTCTCTGTGCTCTGTGTGTCTGTGGACAGTGAAGTGTAGACCTGTATAAACTGGTTATGATCCTGGGTGAGGGCCAGTGTGTCCAGTTCAGAGATGCTCCTCTTCAGTTCACTCACGTCCTGCTGCAGTTGGTCCTGGAGCTCTTGGACTCGGCTCAGTTGGGTCTTCTCCTGGGAGCGGATCTGCTGCTTCACTTCAGAGCGTCTTTTCTCCAGGAGAAGGACCATCTGTGTGAATCTGTCCCCGCTGTGCTGCACTGCTGTCTGGGCAGAGCGTCTGATGTCCTGGGCCTCCTGTTGGAGCCTCTTCAGGTCTGTCTCTTTGTGCTGGAGGCTCTGGAGCAGCAGGTTCCTCCTGGCCGGCAGCTCTGCCTGCCTCTGAGCCCTCTCTGAGGCAGAGGACACTATGTCATGACCCTTATGTTGGTCCACACACAGGGAGCAGAGCAGCTGCTGGTCACTGCGGCAGAATAGATCCATCACTTTGTCATGTTGAGAGCAGATGTTTTCCTGGAGTCTGTGAGACGGTTCCACCAGTTGATGCTTCTTCAAAGTTGCAGCATCATAATGAGGCTGTAGGTGGCGCTCACAGTAAGAGGTCACACACTGCAGACAGGACTGGACAGCTCTCAGCTTCCTCCCAGTGCACACATCACAGGACACATCCTGAGGCTCAGCATAGCAGCAGGCAGCAGGGGGCGCTGTCATCTTCATCTGCTCTACTAAACCTGCTAACATGATGTTTTTAACCAGGACAGGCCTGGGGCTGAAGCTCTGGCGACATTCAGGACAGCTGTAGAGCTGCTTGTGGTCCTCTTGGTCCCAGTGCTGTTGGACACAGTTCCTGCAGTAGCTGTGTCCACAGGGAATAGTCACAGGATCCTTCAGTAGATCCAAACACACGGAGCAGGAAAAGGCTTCTTGGTCGAGTGTTTTCTGCGCCATCTCTCCTGGATCACAAACTCTTTCACTTTGACAAAAACAAAACTTGAGAGTGGAGTGAGAGCTGTGAGAGGAGCCACACACACAGCTCTGTGGAAATCTGAGGAGGAAGAGGCAGCTCTTAAAGGCACACACATGTTTTATTAGAACTTTAAACTTTCAACAAACAACTTCATCAGGACTTTTTCTATAAGGAAATGTGACTTCATTGGTTTAGTTGAGATCATGACAGTCTATCATTTAATTTACAGTTTGGGTCAAGATACAATAATGCCTTACCTTTTCTGTGGACATGTTAGTATTATTTTTAACTGAATTCTTCCCTCTTGTGGTGATTTTGAGTTAGTTCTTTTGTAGCAGACCTATTCTACAAAATTTTTTTTTTTTTTTTTTTTTTTTTTTTACTTTTTTTAACTAATATGGTTTAATGTTAGAGTTGTTTCCTTTTCCTGTCAGTCTTGTATTTGGAGTGATTTGTGCATGTTTGAACAATGTTTAATTGCTTATTTCGAAAACGTCATTTTGTCGATCAAACCCTGTTTTCAAGGTCATTGGGACACACCTACTGCTCTGTACTCACTTCCTTGTCCATTATTATTTTCTTAATTCGTGATAAACAGAAGTGTCATGTGGTCATGTTAATACAAATTTAAAAAAAATCTGCTACTCACTCGTGTGATGTGCAGCTGTCCACAGAGGACACTTGTGGACAGCTGTTGTGTGGTGATGTTTTCAGTGACGTCAGCTCCCACTGGGAGCTGCAGTTTTTTACATGGAAGTCAGCAGACTTGTTTCTTTTGAGTTTTGTTTTAGATCATTATTGTGATTTAGAATGTTCAAATTATAACATAATGATGTCTAAGTATA